AGGTGAAATTGGTTCTGATTTTATGTTGATGTTTTGGTTGGTGTTAATGGATAAGTTTGAACCCTGAGATAGCTGGCTGCCAGTACTGGGAAAAAGAAAACCGAAAAGGCAGAAATAAGAAAACACGAAAAAGGAAAAGAAGGTGACAATTCGCGTGTCTGTGTGATGGTGCGGTCTTGTGGTTCAACATCCTCAAAATGAGCGCAGAAATAAATGCAACTTACTGAAGTGAAGAAACAAAGTTGAAAAGAAGCATTAATTAAAGGTCTGAATGCACCTATAGAAGCTACAACCAAACAGAAATACTTCCTGTTTCCAAACACGTAAGTTCAGCACGCGGGCGACTGCTCTGCAAGAGGCTGGGCCTGCCAGGACACAGCGGGTCACCTTGAGGACCGAACTGACAAAAGGGACACGCGACACGAAACAAATGCTTTTGCAGCCAAGGAGCGAACTGGAAAGGCAGCATCACCAGCAGACGAGAAATTAAAACGATCTCGTGCTAAATACTCCCCAGCGCAGGTAACTCAGCCTGAAGTGGCCGAAGCTCGTGGCCGGGCGCTGCCACGTCACCCGATGTACTTACACGAGAGAGCTGAGGGCCGCGGGACCGAGATGGTGCTGCTGCCAGGCAGAGACCTGCCCGAGGGACAGCATTCCGGGGGAGTTAAATCCCTGCAAGGCAGACAGGTCTGCACTAGTCAAGGAGTAATCTAAGAGGGAAAAAACAAATACAGTCGTTTAGAGATTTATTTTCTCCATATCTACATGCATAGGTATATAAATACATCCTCAGGTGTGCGATACACACGCGCAGACACAACTATAAAGGCTTTCTAGTCGAGTGACTCAAAGGAGTCCAAACACGAAGCCCTGAGGTCTGGCAGCAGTCCTCCAGACTTCACAGGGACCTGAACAGGACATAGGCTCCCAAATGACAATTATTTATTTTTTTGCGTTCTGCTTTCAATTCCTACACGTTGCTCTCACACAGTTTCTTCTAAACCTACCGGCACGACATGTTTATGCATTTTCATATACAGATACAGTGCGCATCTGAGGGGAAGACAAGTATTTGCATTTTTGAAGATTTTTGTCTGCATGAACATTTCAAAACGAAACAAAAAGGGAGGAATTCACAGAAGCCGTCAGAAAGGAGGGGTGCTTCCCACACTGCATTTACTGACGACATCCCAGCGCTGGCTCCGAGGCAGCACTCGGACCAGACCTAGGGATGTCACAACACAGGTCACAGTCCCACGACCTGTATCCAAAACCGAGCAGCGGAGCTGCGCTGGCGGCTGTGGGCTGGGCAAAGGGACTCTCAGAGGCAGGGACGGGGACAGGGGCCCAAGGGACGGTGTGACCGAAGCCCGGGGAGCCCCAGCGGCTCCGCTCCCGCAGTCCTACCCCAGCGTGTCGCATCCTCCCTCTCCCCACAATAGTTTCTCTCATTACTTTGTGTCTGATTAAACTTCCACCGCTCCGTCAAATAAGCGAGAGGAACATCTTTATTTAGAGCAAAAAATATAATTATTTAGAAATGTGACTTGAACGGATGATGTAAAAATCCAAGATATTCCCAGCCAAGAGTCGATGACTGGCTGTGAGCTCTGGCGAGGCTATAATGCTCAGACAGTTCTCGCTGCGTTCAGAGGTGAAGTTATTTTCACTTTATCGTTACCACTCACACTTTTCTTTCAGGTTTTAAAACGAAGCCTCAAACACTTCTCTGCTTTTAATTATTTTGTAATATAGCTTCTTTAAAATAGTTTCTAGTCTCCTGAGAATGTGACAAGCAGCCAAGCTTGTTTCACACTGCCAGAAGACAAACCAAAAATTCTGCTTAAGCAGGGTTTGTGTTTTGCTTTGTGTTTAGTTTTTTTGGGGGGTTTTGTGTTGGGGTTGGTTTTTTTTTTAGTATTGCCCTAAAATGACAACATCATTATGATTTATCTTTCCTGAGATGAGCTCTTTTGAACAATTTCCCCATCCCCATCCACCAACTCCTTTGCTGGGAATGACTTCGAGGTTTCCCTTCAGAGCAGCCTCCAAAGGAAGGAGAGTCTGGTGCTGGCAGGAGTCTTCCGAAAGACCTTGGGAATCCAGGTCTTGGGAATCCCAGCAGAGGCAGCTACTTAAGGCCCCCTCCTTTTTTTTTTGGTGTGTTTTCTTGCATTTCTTCTCAGTTACCATTTTAATTGGAGCTCTGAAAAACCCTCACAAATACTTCTGCACAGATTCAGAAAGATTTTTCCCAAGCTGAATGATCCAAAGCCCTTTTGCAAGATAAAAACAACAACTAAATAAAAAAAAATTAAAAAAAAGCCAGACCCACAACAACATACAAGTGCAGTAAATGCAAACACCTGAGCTGGACTTGCTGCCCTGTGCCAATGGGACTTCTGTAAGAGCAGACGTGAAGAAAACGTTTATAGGAATTCACTTTCCATGTATTTTTCTTTCTTTGCAATTAGAGCTTTTATGATAATGGACAATTAACTTCTAGTACTTTAGAAAGACCTTGTCTGATAACAGGGTTTGAGGAGATACTGCTCCAAAGAACAGATCTGCCACTACCCAATTAGCTGCATTATCATTTCCCTAAATAACGACGTATCTGCAAGTGGTGGGAGCCAGACGCCGATTTTTACACCTGAGTGTCTTGATGTGAGACGGAAAAGCTGCCCAGTCAAGCGAGCGCCTCCTGCGTGACAGAAACCAGCGCTGCTGGGACCCCTACAAGACACCTCTGAATCTTGTGACTTTGCAAAATAACTGACCTAAAGCCAGTCATATAATTTACGGCGAGAGATTCTCAAGTGTAAGTTACTGTTTAACTGATCTCTGTGGTTTTCTAATATTTTTTTTAAAGGCCTAGACGGTTTTAGAACAAGTAGCTCAGTTCACTCTACCCTTCCTCCAGTAATTCACAGAAAGAATACTTCTCTGGCAAAACAAATCATATAAAATCACATAATTTGTGCAAAACTGATATCCAGAGTTTTAGTTAAGGATCTCAGAGCTGAACCTATCTCTTCCACCCCTGCAAAAACCCCCTATCAATCCAGAAAAAACAATTCAGGTATCTAAATTGTATCCTAGTCCTTGAACTGCAAAACTGAAATGGCTACATAAGTGGGGACTGCCCTGGGAACACCCAGATGACAATTTGGTCTCCACATCAAATTTCTTTTTGCAAATTCCCTGAAAGGCTCCATCTAATCGAAACGATTTTAAAGCGTCTGAAAAACACTAAGAGCTAAAAGCTTTTCTCAGATTATTGCATTATCAAAGGAGATGGGCTGGTTTTTAAAATCACATCCCGCTGATAACAGCACTTGGCCAGTGCGTAGGACACCACTTTGGACTGTCCTTGCTGCTTCCTGAGCTGCAGGCTACAGCCCCTCACAGCTTCCTGACGTTGTGGCCATCGGGTTACAGGCTGTCGCTTCCCCAGTCGGCACGAGAGGCGGCACGAGAGAACAAAGGGATCTGGTAGGTAACAGCTAAAACTCAACCGAGCAGGGACCACAACTATTGGTTTCCGTCAAAGAGACATTAAATGCAATATATAAACAATCTGTGTGGAGAGTTTCAAACCAAGATCTGGATGTCCAGCTCATAACCCAAAAGTCACAACCACAATCCTTCACTCCGAGCATTATACTGTTACCGCAACCCCATCTTCACTCATTTCTTTGGACTTTGACCTTCCTTGGGGTGGCAATTATTTGCAGAAATGTTCAACAACTTCGTTGGGTGCTCCTGCAGTATAAGTATTTAGTGCTGCTGCTGCTGCCCACACGGTCCCTCTCAAAACGCAACCCCCACACCGAAAGCGGCGGCAGGGTGACAAGTGGCAGTTAATGAGCACGTTGATACAAAGAAACAGGAATGCAGAAAGATGCCAGTTATGCTCCGAGTCTAAACTAAAAGCTATAGGGGAGAGTTTCAAAGCTAAAAAATGTATCAAAACCCATCTTTGTAGGTGAGGGAATCATTATGAACAGTCGGCTGCTCTGTCTATTCCATCTTCCAACACTAGAGACTCCCACGGCAGCCCTCCTCACACAAAACAAAGACGATTACAAAACCTCTACACTTGGGTTTTTGAGTGATTTTCCCCAAACCTTGGAGGGGGTTTCGGATTCGGCCTGACCTTCGCACAAGAGTAAGAACGTCAGGTCGCTGACACCAGAGCAGTGCGGTGTGTTTTACCCTCTCTGACACAGGTGATCACAGAGGTGCGGGGCTCAGCTTGGGGCAGCAGCAGGCATGTTCTGAAGCTGGCTGAAACGTGCTTTGTCCGTCTCATTTTAACAAATTATAGCCCTTACTCTGAATGGCTTAAGTCGACTTCACCTAAAAAGAACAGCAAACTAGGGAATTACTTCCTTTGTTTTCCACTTGAGTTTTAACCCATTAGCTCTTTTAGCTCCAACTTACAAAATTTATCGATGTTTATCTGCAATGTAGTTTCTCTGCAGGTGCATTTGAAAATGAAACAATGCATCGCAGATCAACGGTAATCAACCTGACACCACCAAGGCTGCAGCCTTTCAAGGAAATGATTAGAAAAATTCCTTCACCGATTGCATACAGGGCCCGGAACAAATAAAGAACCTTGGGACTGAAGTCAAAATGATCTCTATTGGTACGGAGACAAAGTAGGAGGCACCATACCATGAACTACTTTCCAAACCAGCCAACTGCTTACCACCCGTACTACCAAATTCCTTGCATCACACCCTTCTGGGATAAAAAGCAGCTTCACGGTCCTTCAGACAAGAGAGACTCGCCACGGTGACGTGCTGACAACACCCTCCCGAGTCCCCACCTCACTCCCGATAAAACCACTGCAGAGGAGAAGGCTCCATCCATCTCAGCTTTTTTGTAAATCCAAAGCCCCAGCAGAATCAGCTTCCCTCCTGCTGCTGGAACTGAGCGGAGCAGAAGGGAAGGGAGGCCCCAGCTCCCACCAAGCTGTGAGGAGCTTCAGTTCTCGGACGGAGCTTGAACGTGGCCGCTCCAAGTAAAGCCTCGCTCTGCGCTCGGCTGCGTGCAAGCAGCCTGACTGAAAGCTCCTGCCTGATCCGAGTCTCAACATTGACATGTTTTACAAGCTGAAGGCTCATTTCGGATGAATAGGAGCCTTCATTTGAACTGAATAGGGGAATAAAAGTGAAGTGTCACAGAAATGCAAATTCTCTGGGCTTATGATTCCCATCTGACAAATGGAGCCACTGATGAAAAAGGAACGCTTACCAGTGTTGTAGGCAGTAGGCATGGCCGAATACACCAGTCCCTGCGGAGGCAAGCTCGGAGTTGTCACCGACACCACAGGGGTAGCAAGAGGCTGCGTGGACTGAGAACTACTTATCCTTTGGGTATTCTATAAATGATTAAAAATAACAACATGTCTTGTGATATCAGCTAGAACAATGGAAAAATCAAGCGCCAAGATAAAAATAGCATTCAATTAAAATGTGTTTCTTTGCCGTATTTCTTAGTTACAAACACATCCTTTTTTTGTCGGGATGGATTTGCCAAACGAGCCAAAACTTGTCAAGGCAGCCAAAATGATCTTGGCAAACTGAAATAAAAAAAAACTAATGAAGACTCACTGCTCCGCTTTCCGTGCATGCAGGTTAGAGTTGTAGGCCACAAAAGTAAATGCAATGTCTTAGGGATATACACAACGATTCTCAGAAGTTCTTAAGTGATTCAAGAGTTTTCAGTCTCATTTTTTAAAGGGCTTTTAGTGCAGATGGTGAGGTGCAGTTCCACCAGAAAAGAGTCTCCCACTTCCCAGTTGTTTATCCAATTTTCAAAATTTTAGCTGCCAGTTTTGACACTGTGCTGACTACACCTGTCCCAAAAGGAACACAGAGATCTTCTAAATTTGTGTTGATAAGACTTCAGCGATAAAATAATCTCGCTGTTCCCATGGTTCCTGAGAAACTGAGAGAGTACTTGTTATAATGCAGATATGTTTCAAAGCAAATGACATTTGAGTTCACACAGAGCAACTGTGCTTTTTCACAGGAGAAAGAGCGAAACTAGATTGTCTCAGATTATCTAACTGTAGGTACAACGGGGCTTTTTGGTACCAGTCTGTCTTTTCCCGTACACGGGAATGAACATCTGGAGCAAACATCACTCCAGTTAAGCTGTTTGGAAATCCCTTGTATTAAACATCCCGGTGAACAGCACTAGACTGCAAAGCTGCTGTCACAGACTGCACTGCTCCTCGTGGAGGAAACTTTAATTAAAACTTTCTTCAAAATATGTCGTCCAACACCACCCAGCCACGCCCAATACTGTCCAGAACAGAAAATGCCACTTTTAAGCAAGATACTTAGCTTTACCCACAGAAGTCTTAGAAATACTACTAGCAGTAGAAGTCCCTACACCCTCGCTTTCTACATTCTTACAGAACCATTCCCAATAAAGGGAGCTGGATTTCAAATGGCTGAAAATATGTTTGTAAAGCAAGTCTCTCTCTATCTCTGAAAAATATGTGCTATAACTCTAGCAGTTTTTCATCTCTTCGTTAGAGTTCCATTTCCCAGCTTTAAAAGATTGAAGCTTTTCCTTATTTTCGATAGGTACAACAAGTATTTCAGTCTCTCCAGGACTTAATTTTTTTTTTTCTCCGCTCTGATCCTGAGAGCGTGCGCAGTATTACAAATGCACGATCCCCTTGATAACAACAGAATGAGCAGGTGCAGAAACAAGGCTGAATTCAGTTTTAAGCTTCAACTTGTGAAGATGAATTGAGGGTTATCAATCCTTGGCTGCATCTTTCCAATTTAAAAGAGTGTACCTTAGCTACCGTATTAAAATGAGCCACAGCCTTCTACCGACTACTGCTTGTGATCTCTGTTTTGAAGCCTTGTAAAAATTTGGAGGCTTCTGTGAGATTTGTTGAGCAGATGTACGCACTCTGCTTCAGAGCTCCCGCGTTTCGAAGTTTTAAGTCACAGAGGAAGTCCCTCTGGGTGATTTATCCCTTTAAATCACTTACGCACTTCTGAAAATCTCCGCTAGACCGAGTTTATCTGGCATAAAGATATGTTATTAGAGCAGATTTTTTGTGTCTGGCAGGAATTGACCTTTTTCCAAAGCTTTCTTGGATGGCAGCCTATAAAGTTGGGATTACTGTATAATGGAAAAGTTAGAGGAGTATACTGGGAAACAATCCAGACCAAAGGATTTCCCCATGGGATTTTGGGGTAGGTTTTTTTTGAGTGGCTAATAAAGGTGGTTTTCTGAGGTAATTTATTTCTGAATATAATTGCTGAATACTCAGCCATACAAAGAAACATTTAAACATGTCTAATATTTGCTGTACTCAGAAAATCAGCTAAAGATTCATGGCAAAGTTCAGGATTTTTAAAAAAAAAAACTAGTGCAAATGATAGCAGCAACCGGAAGAATTCGATGTCTTTATTTCCTGCTATGCTATCGTTTGGATCTGTTCCTCATATCCAGTGCTCGGTTCCAACCGCAGAGAACGAATATTCACGGACACGGGTTGGACCTGCCTTCTAGCACTGGAATTAGCATCATAAATTAGTGTAACGAGAGATGTAACATTGCAGGTGCACGTCGTAGTTCCTGACCACGATCACTACCACATTTTCCCCATTTTCTGTGTGTGTGAGCGCCCTTCCCCTGCCAGAGGAGCCCCGTTTCCAGCACCACTAGAGGGACCACGCTGCTCGCAGCATCCAACACCGACCTGCCTCCAGCCAAGAGCACAGCGGAGTTTTAGCAGGTAGGGATACCCTCAACTCAAGGGCTGTTGCGTTCATTCCAGCTGCGATGATATTTTGATTAAGGGATTTAAGTTGAATTAGAGCTGTATTTCTTGCCCTGGAAACCAGACACTTCCTTACAGAGGTGAGAAGAACATGCACGACAGCTGGTTAACTGCTGGTTAACTGTGAGTCATTCCAGGAAACCTTAACAACTTCAGTACTGACTTCCCCAAATCATTTCCCCTTACCTTTGTCAATCTATTGCTGATGTTTAAGGTAATAAAAAGATAATTTTTTTCAAAAAAATCAACCAACAGCATGCATTCATCAAGAAATTTATCTAAATCACTACGTTTTTCCATGCTTTCATGCAATTCGAGCCTCATATTAGCAACAGGTCCATGTTCCAAACCAAATGAGGGCACGTAAGGGGCACCTCTGTGCATCTTCACGATCACACTGATGCAGTGTGTCCTGCAGGGTTTGGGCTACAGGGGCTAAACAATTTGTGAATTGCTCTAAAAATAAGTTACGCATTATTTTAGCCTTACGTTATTTTCCAGACAGAATGCCAAATGTTAAAACCTTTTGGAAAAAATAGAAAAAAACCCCACAAATCCCAAGAGGTTCCTTTCAAAAGCAGAATCGCTTTCCATTGGAAAGAAAGGTAGAATTATTCATTTGCAATCCTGTATTCCTTTTGGTAAACAGGGAACACCCCTGTGGTTTGATAATCTCACGCAGGATGAAATAATTCTAGACCTCAAAAAGGTGACCTCACCAGCAATGATGTAATCTCCTTGAAAATAAGAGAAGTAACACAGGGCTTGTGTTACAATCCCAAGAACTTAATGAGTGAAGCCACTTTCTAAAAATATTCCAGTAATTTAGGGGATGATAAGTGGTTACTTATATTTTGCAGAAAAGACAGTAAATACCCTACACACATGGACAGTTACTCCGAAAGGCTCTCTTCCAATGTTCCCTCCAAGAAAAACAGAAATATTTTCAGGACAAAAAAAAATATAGAAGTTTACAAATGGAAAGCACTAGACTTTGGATGCATTTTCAACTTGAATTGGTTGTGGTTTGAGTTTGACAAAACAAATGTATTTTTGTCAGCTACCAAGGGAACACTGGAATTATTTACAATACATAATTAAACTACAGTTTAAAAGCTGTAGTAAAAGACATTTCCAGCATCTTGCTCGCTCTCATCAAACAGTAGCCCCAACTCACCAACTCCAATTCATCCTCCTCCGACTGTACTCAGCAAACAAGAGGGATAACAGAGTTACTAAAAATAGCAATGCTTTCAAAAATGAAAGAAAAAGTCACATTCGTGCTTCAGGATTTTTATTTATTTTAATTAATAATGTGAATTTGCCATCTGATTCTGTAAAGAACACTACTAGGAAGTATAATACTTCACATTATTCCGGTCAGTTAAAAAATACCATACTGAAAGAGCACACGCTTTGGCAAAATTAGTGCAGAAAGAGCTTAATAAAAACAAGGACACAGCTACACGTGGACAACACACGTAGATAGGGAGCACAGCAGTTTCTGGCTGGACCGATCCATTAAACATCCAGCTCAGTAACAAAATATTTTTCACATAAAACCATCACACCACGCCAGCGCCTCTACTCTAAAATCTCTTTCCAACCTCCTCAGAGAGTGACAAAACCTAAACTCAGTATTATGTTGTTCTTAACAACACAACAGTAAGTAGGTACCATAGACTGCTAACATTAGAACTGCATTAACAAGATCTTCTTGTTGTATCTATTTCCAATTAATTTTGAAGTCAAATATTCACTTTAATAATCAGACAGTGTATTTCCTGTGTCTTCCACACGATAGTATTCCTAAAAAACCTTAAAACTTCAAGAACCATTACGCTAAGGATAATTATAGGTTTTGTTCCTTGGATTAATTTTGTATTATTCATCATGAAGACCAATAACAAATGTAAGCGCTTGCAGTATCTTAGAAAAAAATGTAAAAGTTATACCGAAAGTACTTGGTATTGCTTAAATCCTGTTCCTCTTTGTTATGGTTTGTCCTTCCACGCACAGAGAACAGAAAATGCACACACAGATGTTTAAAACTTCTACATGACAGTGAAAGACCAAGACCAAAGGATCTGGCCAACTAAACTAAAGGAAAAACAGAGTAACTCTTCCTGAAAGACCTGTTCTGGTCTCAAGGCTGTGGTTGCCTCATGCCTGCCACAAAACGTGTGCTGTTCCAAATGCAGGCTGAGCAAACGTTACCACCAACACGCCAAACCGCACACGAGCGCTGAAAATACACAAACAGGGGCTGAGCCCGAGCCTCGCTTCTCTTTCACGCCTTCACCAAAGCTATGACCTCCACCATAGGACACGCAGAGCTGCATTTCAGCAGACCACATCAAACAAGTGTTTCTCTCAGACCATCATTACCACTGAAGCTACGTTTTACGCCCCACAACCATTATGACCCAGGAAATACAGGTACAAAGTGCGCTTTTAGGGCATGTTAATACAACTCACATCACCAATAAGATCAGCTGTTCCTCCACAGAACAACACAGAATCCTTTTTAAAACCCACATCCTCCAAACCAACAATGGTCTCGGTACCAAGTCAGTGAGATGTCAAATCTAAACAATAAAATTCCAATCTATGTCTCCAGGATTGCACTCTGGCCAGCTTTAGGCCAGATTGCTATTTTACACTTCTTTTAAAAAAATAAAAATTCTTGCAAATTTAACTTCTCTTAGATTTAGATTTTCCTTAGTGAAATTTCAGAATACAAACACCTTTCTATTACTGTAACCTACAGCAGCCAGATAAGATAGCTTCCTGCTGTGCTCGTGGACAGAGCCCTTCATTTTTACAAATCCGGTCACAGAAGTAATGTTTTAACTTACCAGCGGTGGCATCATACCCTTGCTGGAGGGCGGGATGACGACACGGAGGTCAGGTTTGCGATTGTTCATTCCAAGATTACCTCCCCCAGGTGGAGGAGGAGACTTTGTAGGCATGACTTTGCCTAAGCCGTTCCCACCAGCAGGAGTTCCCAGTAGACTTGGTGAAGCTCGAGAATTCACAAAGCCATTTCCTGGAAGAGAAGAAACAAACGCTCAGTAAGACTGAAGAGAAGTAGCAATATAAGATTTTGGTGCCCACATACCAATTATGAAATATTTCTTTTCTAAAAATTCCAATAGTAAACTTCTGACAAGAGGTGCAATATTGAATAATCGAACAAACAAACACTGCTTTAACCAGAAGATCGATAAGTAAAGGTAACATCACCTCAAGGGCGCACTGCGGCAGCTTAAACACTGCGAAGAGCATATTGCCAAAGAACTGTTTCTAATACCATCTGTTGTGGTTTTTTATTTTGCCCTTTGAAGTTCCTCCAGACTGAGCTTGCAAAAAAGTGTGTGTGCTTTTGTACAACCCCACTTCAGCTCTACTCCCACAGAACATGAACTAAACTGAATTTGGCTGTGAAAATAATATAATTTTAAAAAAAAGGCTCCTAAAGTCTCTCTTTCTAAAATACATTCTTCAAATATCTTTTAAGATCTGCAGCACTCCACTATCTACTCTCTAATAAAATTAATTTCAGACTCAAAAAGATATACTGGCTAATTATCGCATTTAGCAACAGTGAAGGAACAAACCCTTTCCCTTCAAATTCATTCCAAGCTCTGGACACATGTACACACATCATTTATGTCTATTATGCACATCGATTTATTTTACACAGGCCTTCTCTACTTTACTCCTGATACTTAAGTAGAATTAGACAAGCCAAAGCCTACCAGTCCTGGCTTCAGCACTCAAATCTCCAAAGGCTGAATACACTCAAGCTATAGGCCTTAGCTTGCACTGAAAACAGATCAGAAAAAGGACAGTACAGCAGTTAAGTGCCTAGTATTCTATTTTCCTGTACTGACAAAAGCAGCAATCATGTTAACCAAAATGTATTTCTCAGGAAAAAAAAAGGTAAAGCCACATTCCAATGATTTTATCGTATTTATAGCACCAATTCCCAAAATACACTCACCTTATTCAGCTACAAATGAAAAAAAAATAGTCGTGCGAGGCTAATTTCACAAGAGGGAGCCCTACAGGTCACACTACAGAACTTGTGTACGTGTGTGTGTAAGTAAATACAATTCACAGTAAGATTATGTTTACAGTAACATCGCAGTTCTGAAAGCAGCCTTTATAATCACAATTCAGGGAAAAGTCTATTACACAAAGTTCACTGTGTGGGAAATTCTCTTCTAATAGCCTGTAGCGCCATACCAGCATGAATTTTGCATTATTATTCTAATTTGAATAGGCCCCTATGCCCAATCCAATTTTATTACATTAAGTACATATTAATCTAAAGGCAATTAGAATAAGAAAGTTGTCAGTGTCACATTCTACCTTCTCTGGCAACATTTTTAATGCCTTTAAAAGCTTAGGCAAGAAAGCTTGATGGAAGGTGACCGGCCCTGCTGCGATAGTCACCTGGGGGAGGTTCAGAACCTGGTGGTGAATTCCCCAGGAACCTCCTCCAGTTCTGCTGAGCCTTGTTCCGTGGGGGGGAACTGCCAAATGCAACCCGCGCCTCTTCCCTGTCCACCAGGAACGGAACTCTACGTATCGTCTTAGCAATTTAGAAATGGAAAAAGCAAAGATAAATGTAACAATTCTAACAAAGCTCTTGTGCCATTCTGAAGATACTCCACCGAGTTTTATAAAGGTCTTTTGGAAACAAAGCTATTGCCAAATTTTTTAGGTGTTTTTTTTTTTTTAAATTAAGTAGGTAGAACTTACTGGAACATGCAACCACAGTATTGTTGTTCACATGGATGAGCAGTAAATTCACAACTTGAAAGCCAGGATTTCAAATTCTGGATTTACTTTCGTTGGGGATTTCGTACTGTGTCGACAGCCTGACCATGCATGGACGATCTGGTAAGTCCCGTGAGTTTCTCAAGGTTAACAGAGCAAGGAGGAGTTATTCTAACTTAGTACTTTCCTGAAGCATTTGTATGAGAGGTATGGGAATGCATTTTCTGAGAATTCCATTTAAGTCAAAAGTTATGAGGGGAAAGAAGGAACACAGCAGAAAGAAGAAAAAAGCTTTTAATGTCAGCATTCTTCCTTCTGTATTAAAAACCACATCAAAACCTCATTTTGTCATTAAAGCATCTACATTCCTCAGCAGAAAACAGCAGAATTTATTGTGATGCTTCTAGGTTAGTGATAAAATTTAGTTCAAGTGGCTGCAAAGTTGGGCCGGAGCTGAGAATACCTCCAGAGCTAAATATACTCTTGACTGCCAGGAAAAAACTAGCCACTGCTAGGTCACACAGAAAATCCTGCCAGCCAAAAAAAAAAAAAAAAGAGAGAGAGAAATTAATTTCTGTGCTACCCCTAAGGTTCCTGAAACTGCCAGCCAGTCTTCGCAGCATCGTGGTTTTGTTAAATACTGTTACGCATCAATAATACAGCAGCGGTGTTCTGAGTTGAATTTAAAGTTCAGAACAATAACAGTCTGTATAAACAACGGAGGTCTGTGCAGCATTTTAGTCTCTCCTATGATACCATTTCCTGTCCTCTGGTTTCAAGTATTTCGGTAGCTCGCGTGTTAAATCTGGACAGTGTCTTTCTTCCACACCCAATGGAGTCATTTCCTGCAGCCCTTATTACAGGGCTCTGCCAATCCTTCCGAAACGTTTCATGCTTTTAGCGGTGCCGTCAAAAACAACAAACTCCTCGCCGCTGCCTTGTCTGCACACAGTCATGCAGGAGCAGGGCAGAGTCGAAGCATGACAAAAGGCCGGGCTTTTCTAAAAATGAGGCTTTAGGAAAAAGACACAAAGACGGGGAGAAACAAAACACGTGGTGAGCGTGCGGTATCGTAGGCACCAACCCAACAGCCCTTTGTTACAAAGAGCAAGCCTTGAAGATCTAGCAAACACTGGCGTATCTATATTGATTATTTCAAGAATCACGTGTTGGGGCTGCAATAAGACTGTAGAATATTCATTTTTAATATGAAACTTAAAGCCTTTATTCCTGTCAATAATCTAATAAGAAAATCAAATTACAAGTTAAGAGTGAAAGGATAACTAAAAGCGTGGTATTTCTGAAAGTAAGGTCAGGAGCCAGAGAAAGATAATGACTACAGGATGATGCAACTGTACGGCAGATTGCCAAACAGAGGCTTTAATAACCCCATAAATTCTACTTACTCTTTTGTATAATACAGAAATTCTACCTACCCCACCCACTACAGATCCTCCCCAAAGGCAATTACTTTATGTTTAAAAACACTATCAAAACGAAAAATGGAAAAAAAATGCAAAACCCTACCTAAGTGTAAAATAAGACTACTGGTTTTACTACCATTAGAAGAGTCTAACTTGACACTAATTCTTTAAAACAGACTGTGAAAGTATGTTCAAAACGCTTCTTCAGAAAACACACCCGTGCAAAGATGCAAAGCTCTCAGTTACATGAATCACAATTTAATTAGACTGCATGACAGCAAACATTGCTAAGGTGCATTAGCTTACTTCTTGTCTAGTCAGAAAACGTTTATTTTTCAAGTCACTTTTTTCCGACACTAAACGTTAAAACCCACCTATTTTAACAACTGGATATTCCTCCAGAATATCCTTCAGCAACATAATACATCTTAATCTCATTTATTGTCCTGCAGCCCAAGACGTAGCATTCAATTACATGAGCCAGACTCATATTTCACTATGGAAATCACATCAGCTGCAACAATGACCACACGTGGCTGGAAAATACTCCTTGTAGTTATTACTACTCAAGGAATAAATTATAGTTGTTGATGCCATTAATCTCCTTTTGTGGTTCACCTTTGGAGAAACTGAACAGTTACCCACAGTTTTTGGAAAATAATTGTGGGCAAGCAGCTAAGCAGTGTAAGATCAAGCAAAAATAATAAGGGTAGTTTTAGGAATATTTATGCCTCAAATGACATCCCGGAATCAAGCAAATGTCACATAATTAGAAGTAAACTGAAAATTGTGTTTGCAATAAGCCCACGATTTTCTACACATCTAGAAGACTAGATGAAATATATTGAAGAAAAATATTTAGGACCATGGAGGGAGGAGGGAACAACATATTGCAAGTAGATAAAACATCAGCTTTTTTTGTGCATTAGTTGCTCAATTTACTCCTTTTTTTGCTGTTTAGTATGGCAGCTTTAAGTGGAAATTTGAAAAGAAAAACAAAAAAAAAACCCCAAAAAACAAAGCCACAACAACCAAACAAAACAACCCAACAAAACAGCATATGCTGTTCATACCATTTGCAGCTTTGCACAGAAATCACTGCTGATTCTACCATTTCCAAAAGCCTAAGCCCTCTGCTAGCTTTGGAAAGAATTTACTATAAAATCAAGGAAGCCAAAATACAAGTACTTCCACTGATCTTTACAAATCAGTACTTCAGATAATACTGTGATTAGAATTAAAATATACCTTTGGCAGTAATATAAGATTTTGAAACATGTCCAACATGTAAGATTTATACTTCTCGGGCAGCACTTTAGATATTAACACTCAGGGAAAAAAAAAACACAAATGACTAAGTGTCAAGGGAATGCTTACTCATGTTGCAAAACTAAAAAAAAAACACCTCTCATTACCCAGGTTGCTGAGATTTTTTTTTTGCCTAAAGCTACATGAAAGGAGAGACAATTTTCGAGGATGCTTAGAATTTAAATGGGCTTTCTTCGAGACCCGGATTATTATTCAGAACGCAGCAGCAAAGCGAAAATGAAAGCATATTGCTTTTCTATCTAAATGTTATCCAACTCTGCGAGAAACACCAGCAGAGGCAACTGGATGCCTTTTAGGTCTTTTGTCAGCTAAACAGTTTACTGTTAATGAAATCAGAGTTCTGCTTTCTGAACTTGCTGGTTGCTCTGTATCTGTACAAAGCCAACGTAAAGAATGACAAAGAAAGGATGACAGAGGTGAGACGTTTAGAACACCCAAGGACGTGTGGTGGCGTATCCTGGGCAAGGTGACATTAGATTAACGTTGAGACTTCACACAAATCGATACGCTGCAATACTTCAATCCAGATGGGACATTGATAACTTGTTACACATGTGCCAAATTCTAACCAGAATTGTCTTGTATCTCATATTAAATAAGAAATCATGGCAAGACAATGAACACATAACAATATATGCAATTTCAACTGAAAGCTAAGGGTAGTTTAGGGGCTGAACTGCCCACATGTGGATGGGAGGTTTCCAAGGAGAGATTGCTACAGTTAAAAAAATATCCCAAACCAAAACCAACCAAACAAAAAAAAAACCACACAAAAAAACCCCTATTAAAACCCAATCCCACCCTCAAATGCTTTCTTCTACCAGTATGCTTTTCATGCTGATTTTAGTTGGTCATTTCTTGCGAGAAATCATCAGAGGACGATGGTCAAAATGTTTTATGCAGGCTGACAATGTCTAGCAATGGAGAAGGTTTCAGTTTACAGCCTGTGGGACAGCAGGTGTGCTGCCCACTTTCAGCCCTCCTTATCCTCAAGGAGAGCTTGGAAGCTCTAAGAGTAAATAGGCTGCTCTCAGTGTTCTTCAAAGATCCTTCAACTTCTTCCTTGAAAAAGGGTGAGACCCCTACCTGTTGCATTTACCTGCATAATCTTAAAGATCAGAGCAAAGCAAAACACTATGCCAACGCTACTGCCATTACGGAGCAAGACCCTTTGTCCACTGCATTTAGCATCAGGCGAACACAACTTCTGAAGTCAAATCCCTTTTAATACAAGCTAGGAAGGGAGGAGCTCTCTCTAGAGAAAGACACTGAAGAAAAAGCGGAGCAGATTAGAAATACCACCAGGAATGCACAACCTTGAGCAGGAATATGCTCGAGGTTTACAGCTGCTCTCCTGAGGAGGGTGACCACAACAACAGAGTCAGGCTTTTCAGCGGATGCAGATGATACAGACTGGTGAGTTGGAGAGTGAGGGTGGTGGGAAAATAAAGCCTATTTTCTTTAAAGAAGAGGCTGATAGCATCAATCCAGTTTCGATCAAAATTCCTGCAAGAGGCATGTTTTTCCGGAGTTAAATGCTTCTCTTTGGGGTGTGCCATTTAATAACCAAAATAACACAAATAGAAAGGTACACACAGAAAGCTGTTTTGTTACTGAAGGCTTCTGGTGTGCTCTGAAGAACTGCAGCACCTCAGCCACCTCACTGAGGCTTGTGAAAGGCCAAGCTGCAAGACTCTTTCATCCTCAGACCTGCAAAAAAGCTTTTCCAATCAGCCAAGCCCTCGAGCCAAAGGGAACCATTTACAGGTGTGGCCTTTCGCACTTCTCTGTCTTGATCCCTCTCTGGCAATGTACAAGCAGTTTACAGGTGCGTGCAGGCTGCCAGCTGTACCTCTGCATAATCCTTCCTGAGGCCAGGACAAAAGATCACACATGATCTAGACTGGCTCTTAATAGTCATCTCATAGCTCAAAAGACACAAGTTTTCAGGCAGGTACACCCTTCAGCTCTGTTCCAAAGAAATTCAGTATTCCTAAAGTTATTTCACATTCTCAGAAAGTGAGGACATTAGAGAAGATACAACTCAAGCAGACTAGATCTACCTTATCCATTCTCCTGATGATCAAACTGTCAGAGGAAAGCTAATTTACCAGAAGATTAACTGGGTCTATAATCTGCATTACTGACTAGAAGGGCTACTTCACTGATGAAGAAATACAGAGCGTCCTTGTGAGACCATAAAGAGCCTCCACTTCCAACAGCTCCCTTCAAAATCACCTGGACTGGAAGAATTTAGAGAACTCAGTCCAAAGGTCTCAGGTTTCGTGGCTTTCGTGCAACCCTGGCAACGAAAACCAGCTGAGGTCCTTTGGATGGTTCTAGCTCAACTCCACACGTGAAAGGTATGGAAGGAAAAGCAGAGATTGGGTAAGAGTGGGACTTCTTCTGAGCATTCCCGATTCTCGAAGTCCTAAGGATGGGACGACTTCGCTGAAAGAGCACTTCACCGGCAGCCTCCGAATGCTCTGAGGTGTAATATAGCGACTCTACCACCAGAACACAGCGAGGCAGATGTCCCTCATGACAAATCTGAGGGCGATCAAGCCATCAAGTTCTTTCAGTTCCAAGTCAGAGGAACTCTTCCCCGTACTGGGGTACTCAGCGCAAGCAAGGCTGTACTTTGCCCAGTCAGAACCCACAGCCTTTGGAAAGGAGAAACACAGACAAGGAGCGTGTGTTCAAACCACGACAATGCTGAAAACAAACAGCAAGTTGTGCACATCCTGGTGAGATGAGATTTTTGAAGCACGTTAGACGCCCATCACAAACCAAACAGGGTTTAATACCGAACAGAGGCAACACTATAACGAAAATTCTAGCTCCAAAACATTCGATCTAATTAACAAAAAAAAAAATAAATTAAATAGCTCAAAAGCAAACGTTTTTATAATGCCAGACGTTTTTCCCCCTCTCAAAACCGATATACTTGCCAAGTAAAAATTTTCAGCAAATGTTTTTTTTAATGTGGTGGATAAAATTTTAAAAATATAACAAAAATAAAAATGCATTTTCAGAGTTATGAGAGCTGTATATGAAGTAAGCTCTCAGGATTAAAAAATGATCACAAAATTTTCTGTTCTAGACATAAAACCCACCTACCAACCTCTGCTACAACATGCAGATATTTTTACTTGGTTATTTTCCACAGAAAAACTGTTAAATTGGCAGATTGACTGCTAAAGCAAATTATATCTATCCCTATCAAATTCCACAAGACTAGAGAAAAAGATTCATGTGAACTAAATATGAGGCATTTTATGCAACATCTTTGAATGCAGGAAAACCTTTACTTGTTCTTCACTCAGCGATAAAGGTATGTAAGTATCTTTCAGTGGAACAAGAACTAAACCTCAAACGCTCAAAACTGCATTATTTTGACTAAGATTTGGGTTTTTCCTTTGTCTGAAGGAGGATACCTGGGAATATGGATAAGCCAATATTCCATCTTTAACTTTGACACCTTTCCTATAAATTGTGAGCTGTAAGCTTGACACGTGGCCTTTCACAATTCTATCCACAGCAGAATTCTCCATTTCTCAGAAATTTAAAAGACTGAAAGCTAAAAGAAGAAAATATTTTCAAAGTGAATTCTCCAAAACCATTGTTGTCTACAGACACAATTAATTTGATATACCTGCTGCAACGGCAGCTCTCGAGCTCAGATCGACATGTTTGGCAGATTTACTCAATCCGGTCATGTAGAGTTTCTTCACTTTGGTTGCAGCTGAAGAAGGTTACTGTGCACCTGACAGCATTTAAAAGAAGTCACACCATACCCCAGCAGAAAGTGAAGCTCTGACAGCTTAGGGTACTCTGTGCCTCAGCGTTCTGGTATTAACAAGGCATTTGAGTTTCACTAGAGGTAATTCTTACAGAAGTTCCACTGTTTGTGTAGAGCCGCAGCTCTTGCTGGTATGGAAAATCTTTCTAGAAATGAGTGGGTATGTGTATAACATTTTGGGTGCGATGTTCTGGAAAGCAAGAGATAAGTGATGCATTTTGACTTTTCACATAAACTATTAATAAATGCAAGAAGGCAAACATTTCACTGCATTAAATATGTTCACCAAGCTGCTGCAACTGGGTATTTCTGCAGTTCAATGTTCTATAGCAAGTGCTGTAAACAACCGTTTTATTTGCTTATTGAAAGAAGGAGTCTTGAATCTGAGGCTGCTGCTACTAAAGTCTGATTTTGAAAGAGGCCTGAAATGGCCTGATAATAAACTTATTTAGTCTGACTATGAAAATCAACATCTGACCTCCACAGTTTCTAAAAATAGTCATCTTTTTTCAGCCGAGGAAGTTTCCTCCATTTAAAATCTTGCTTACCTGATGGAAACCACACTTAAATATTTCATATCTTCGCTGCACATAGGCAAAGAAGGGATGAAGAGCAGAAAGTCAATCCTGTGCTTTCAGCCTTGTAGATGCAGCATTTTTTATTCATACATTCAATTGACTGACTTGAAGTTCAAAGAACTTTCTCCCAGTTGCCACACCAAGCGGCCAGCGAAAGGTCAACAGCTGCTTCTCCAATTCCTTGGTATGAACACGTACCAAGGAGAGTTATGCATATTTCCAAAAGTGACCTTCAGTTACCAAGACATCTTAGGCAATGGAGGGAACATGAAGCAAGTTGGTGGTGATCTGTAATTTATTTTGTCTTTCTGCGGTGTGATAAATTTCAGAGGATGCCTGACCTCTATAAGCAGACTAAATTTTGTTAGGGGAGATAAAATAGTCTTTAAATGAAAAAATGCTATCTTTTTTTACTGAAGACTGAAAAATAGATGAGTTTGATTTTTGGCAAGATCTTCGATTTGTTTTTGACAAAAATTCTGATCATCTTCCAAAATTAAGACAGAACCTAGCTATCAGCTTCCAAGATTTACTGCTTTCTTTGTATAACCACTAGAAAATAATTACGAAGATACACACAGCAATACAAACAATATGGTCTGTATTTTCTTATTCTTGACTGGCACCAGAACCAATATCAAACATCCAGGTCTTGTGAACACTAACACTGAGAACACAGCTGAGTTATCTTTAGCGTGATAGCTTAGAAAGTGCAGTGAATTTCATACAAAATAAGAAATTTGGTGAACACAGGATCTATTCAGAGTGTCGTAATCACACCTGCAGAGAAACACCAAAGCAGGAGCAGCATGCCACCACTGAAAACCACTACTATAAAAAAATGCAAATTTTACTGAAGCGGAAAGGGCAGGGTAGTAAAAAGTTAAATGCCTGACAAGAATTCATAAGACTTGATAACTACAATACAATCAACAAAAAAATGACCCTTGCTCTTCCATAGCCAATTTTTCAAAAAAGACAAAATAAAAAATTGCTTTTGAGTACCTATGAAACAAAAAGCACGCTACTATTTTTCAGCAAAGACATGATACTGCACTTACCAACTGGACTGGTACCAGCTCCGTTTGGCACTGTGAGGTCAGTTGTCCCCAGCATTCCACCTAACAACAACAAGCCACAGCATTAAACGAACTTGCTCTCATTACAGTATCATAATGAGAATACATATTTTGTACTTCAATCTTAAGCCATTAAAAACCCCCAAGAAAATACACCAATACCCCTATGAATTTGTCACTTGAGGGTTCTTTGGTTTTTGCGTTTGTTTTTTTAAAAATAAATAAATAAATAAATTTTTTTTAAAAGGAAAGCAGAACAAGTACTGAAACCTTACCTGCGTTGCCAGTACTCGGTGGTCTCTGAGGGGCCCCAGGCGATACGTTCCGATGCAGGGTGGTCTGAGGTGGGGAGAGCATGGTTGTGTCCGTTAACGATGAACTGGCTGCCAGCGATGGGGATACGAGGGAACTCCCTGGGTTACTGTAGGTTAAAGTGTTGGGGTTGGACACCGGAACTGTAACCGACATCGAGAAGTTCTGAGCAGGCAGGCCAGGCTGGGAGAACATACCAAGACAATAACATTAGCTTTAACTATGTTTGCAGAAATAGCACATTATAAAAATACATATTAAAGTTTGTCAAGAATTACTCAGGTTTAAAAAAAAAAAAGAAAGAGAAAAAAAGAGTTAATTATGTTAGTTTTTAAACTCTATTAAGCATACAATTTTAAACCATCCATTTGTTGTAGAGTATGTGTTGCCTCGACAAGTATGGTGTTAAACTCTGATACATCACAGTTCCAAAACTCTTATACACACAGTTCCAAAAGAATTACTCATAAACTTCTAAAATACTGGAAGTTCAAATCCAAAAAAATGAAAATATTCATATGAATTCACAATCTCAGAAATACAACAGATTTGCCAGTTAATTGAGATTATTACAAAGCAATGACAAGCTAATCACATCTACAAATCAATGAACTGTTGCACCTTCAAAATGTAAGCATAAACATGCACATTGTAAAAGTCCGTTATTACACAAAAAAGAAGTTAGTAATAACATTTTCTATTAATAATCTTGCCAAAATATTGCTACTAATGTCAAAAACCTTTCCAGCAGACTACAAAAAGTAAACAGATCTTTAGTAAGTCAGTATAATTCAAGAAGTTCAGTAATTTAAACATTTCAATTGTCATTACTCTGAGCTGTGTTCCACAAAACCCTGCTTTTAAGTAATGTTGTAAGAACTATAATTTTAAAAGGCAACTATTTTTCTGAAGCATATGCTTGTTATTCAACAACTCCTTGAATCAAAAGCTTAGCTGCCTGCCCATCTATGGTACTCATTTGGTTATGACTAACTTCTTTGGCCTTTGTCTCATTCCTGCCCTTTGACAGCGATGAGTTTCTGAAACAAAAGGGACTCTTTCTTTCGTAATTCTCATAATTACTGGAACCAAACTCATGACAGGTACAATTTAAGGGTAAAACTTCGGTAGTATTTATTGACAGAATAGAGAGATAATAGGTTTGATTTAGAGGTCAAATGCAGGTGAGAAACATTCACAACCTAGCACATGTACTTCAAAAGATGCACTTTTGTCACGTGCAGCTTAAAGTTGACTTACAATACTACATCTGGATGGTTATTTCAATAATATTAGAAACATAACAATAACTATACTAATTAAAAAAACAGAACACATTTTCTACAGGAAACAAAATCTCTTATTAGTGAGAGCCAACAGCAGTGTCCCTACTGAAGCAGTCTAAGAATAATTATCAATTTTTGGCACAGACGGAAGGAAAAAGTAATGAAGCACAGTGACGTAATGCTAGCAAATCATTCACAGTATCTAACTAATGACGAGCTGTGCTGGTATTTGTTTTCACGGGAAGCTCCTTCAAGAAACTATTCAGTATCTACCAAAAAAAAAAAAAAAGGTTGCTTTTAAACAGCATTCTGTCAAGTAACTCCAACTAAACTTGAAATATCTTGAAGTATGCTTAAAGCAATGCTAGAACCTAACAGTTGGAACATTTCTTCTGTAGGTTTCTCAATATAGAACTAATAAATGACAGCTTTCCCCCACACCTTACAATAAAGGCTGCCTCTGCCCATCTACGGTACTCAGTTGGTTATGACTGAATTCTTCACGCTTTGCCTCATTCCAATCCTTTGACAGTAATGAGTGAGCTAGAACAAAAGAAACTATGTTCTTACACAGGCCCAGAAGTACTGGAAATAGAACCATAACAGGTCCAATTTAAGCGATAAACACAGAACTATAAAGCTAATAAATAATGCTGCCTTTTTTATTTACACTGATGTCCACGCAGACAATTTCGGCTGCTCGTGAAGACCACAGAAAATCAAAGGAGAGCCCTTTAGCTGTAACATTTTGGAAGACGAGCCCTGAAGGAGGTGTCTCAACACAGGCATGTCGGACACCTAAAACACTCAAAACAAAGCAAGAACAAAACACATTGGCTTTGCACAAGTATAAAGAACTTGCTAAAAGAAGTGATGCCGAGTGTCATGCCTGTCATTTTGCTGTCAGGTCCCCAGAGATGGCCTTAGTGCTCTGAACAAGGAAATAATTTCCAGCATCAGTTGGGGACACACTACTCAGTTGCCCCAGGGTCTGCGCTGATTAACCCAGACAGCCTCTTTACTTTAATTGCTACAAGACTTATGACATTAAAAAATCCAAAGACTGTGGCAGAGCCCTGTATTAGTTTTCTTAGAAAATGCTTCCCCGTAATATTCAACACTAATTGGTTTTTGCAAATGGAAATTAAATGTCATCATGTACACCTCCATGAAAAACAAGCAAAATTTACGCTACTGTCCTCCTCAAATGCCTTGAGTGCTGGAGCCAAGGGACTATGTTAGGCGCTCGGGGCAAAATTTTTTGAGATCTTTCAATATCCAAGGAAGTATCTGCTGGAACTTCACCAGGAACTTCCCAATCTTCTGAGGCTCCTCCACTGTGCACCAGTCTATCTTTACACATTTAAATATCTTCCTACATCCATTCTTCAGTAAAATAAATTCCACTGATTTGACGACAAAATTAATCCACTTCTATCTGCCTCCTTGTAACATGCTGTAAAATCTTGATCAACAGACAGATAAAGAGCTACAAGATGCAAATAAACTATCCTACATCCCACGACAAAATCTATCTTTATAAAAATATTTTAGGTAGGATTAGGCAATACAGCTAGGCTCCCGAATCTTAGAAATGCTACCTCATGTTCACAAGGTATGAAAACCCAAGTTCAAAAGGGAAGCTAGAGATAAATCTTCATATTCTTTAAGATAAAATGTATTCTAACAAGATCAAGTACCAGCATTTCACGTTTCCTCAAAAATATGTATTCCTTTCTCAAACCACTACATCCTCGTGTCTTTGCAGTTGTTTTCAGTGGGAAGCAAACACCATGAAAATTCTCATGCATGTAATAGAAGCACAAACCATACTTTAGTACTCACTGCGATTTTATGATTCCGCATCATATTATCAAACTCTTCATTAATTTTTTTATATTTTTCTTCTGTATGTGGCGTGAGCACATATGAAGTGTCAGGGTCCGGGCTGTCGCACCCTCTGTGTTCCTTCTTGTTCAGAGCCTAAATAATGAAGTTAATAAAAAGGATCAACAAATAAAAAGTAGAGATAAAATAAAAGTACTTACAGGGCCTCGCTTGAAAATAAAATCACTATCTTCATTTAGTTTGCTGAATCTGTCCTCCGATAGTGGACTGTGCTCAAAGTAATCGTCAGCATCAGGGCTCTCACAACCATTAAGGCCTTTCTTTCTTAAGGTCTGAAATACAATTGGAAAATTCACATACAAATCATACTAACTTGCCAAGAAGTTTTGTATATCTACTGAATCAATTAGAGCCACTGAAACTACATGAAACTTTCACAGACAAAACTCACTGTTCAACAGACAGGCTTAGACTTTCAAAACAGTTGCATAGTACACAAAGAGAAAGGGTGAGTTCAGAGGCCTGGGTGCTCCCAGGTGTCACCTCACGGGTAATGTGAACCTACAACCACTTCGTCTTTCCAGTTTTCAACAAAAAAACGTTTTTAGAGACTGGCTCCTGGAGTAAAGGTGCCCAGCATACAAGGAACATTCAAGCCTTTGGCAAAGGAGTTAGTCACCAGTGGTAATTACAAGCCAGACTTTAGCATCCCAATTTTAATCTTCACATTTCAAAGAGTGTACAGTCAGACTCTGAGAAACACAGGGGCTATAGTTTTCCATCAAATCTGACAACTGCAGTACATGAATATACGCAACTCTTGGTCTCAGTAGTTTAAAACGGCAGAGTTTTGCTGCACTTCTGTCATCCTGCACGATAACAAGAACTGCAAAGAAGTATAAAAAGGAATTATATAATCCCCCTCTGAAATTACTTAGTTTGCCAAATGTAAGTTTTTTTCAGACTCCTTTAGACCAACTGCTGTATCGGGCTGCCTCCTGTTTTCGGTCAGAGAGCTCACATCAACATCCCCTGGAAAAAAACCCGAACTTGTCTGCAATCTAGGCATTACAAATAAGCTACTGAACGGAAGAACGTGAAACTATAGATCTCAAGACCACATTTTGACAGGTATTTGTATTTCTTGTTGTTTTTCTTTTTCACCTTATTAATGAGAAATCTTTTTTTGCAAATTCTCATTCATAAGAAAGCAAGACTTAAAATATCACCTATGGAAAAAATCTTTACTATTTTTAAAAAGTTCCAAAAGGAAAGCGACACAGATTGAAACACAAGCAAATGGGTACGCATTAGCAGCACGTAAGATGGCAGCAGGACTATAGAGGCATGAGGGGGGTTGTGTGTTTTCATGAGAAATTATCTATATTCTATCAATTTTACACTAAAACCATAAAGATTCAAAGTCTGCAAGCTGATATTTTTGGCACCATAAAGGAATTGCATTTATTTTCCTTACTGAAGCTACATCTCAGTAATGCACTGCATTTCTGATTAAAAAAAAAACCTTATGTTTTAGTTTCAACTATAGTACTTTTTTTGTCCTTCAAGTGCTCTCCACTAATTTTCAGTACAATAAAAAGCACGCAAGACTACCTTACTATTCATGCATACGCAAAACACCGCCTAGTTCTACTTCAGTGTTAAAGCAGCACTCGCAAATTCAATTACGCCGCCCGAAATGCTTGAATATCACAGGTCACCATAAGCTATAATTCCTTCTCAAGTTTCTTGGCTCGCTCCGTGTATCCCACACAGTATCTGGAACTCCCACAAAAATGTAATCGCTAAATCGGCACATGGAGAAAACAGGTGGGGGTTCCTCCGGCACCTGTCACGGCCCCGAGTCCGCTCCTCGGACCAATCAGCTGGACACGTATATGGACTTGGCCATACAAGGGCCGGCTGGTCGGCCGCGCGAGGTCGGAGCCCGTTATCCCTCTCCCGGCCCAGCCTAACAAGTCAGCCTGCCCGTCTTCTACACTTGCATATCAGCAGGGAACATGTTGACGCTGTGTAATCTGGATTACACTTAACCCCCTGCAGCCCGCAGAACTCTGCAAATAGAACCCAAAGGTGGCTGTACGTGGCGCTCAGCGCCAACACACGTATGCGGCGTCTGAGAGGCAATTAGAAGCTCTATTTAGATACAACAAAGAAAGATCCCACAAGAAATACATTTACTGTCTAGTTGGCCTCCTTAAGTATTGCAGAGTTTCATTAGCGCTCCTTTCAACATTCTAAGACAATCAAGTGAAAGCTTTTAAGCGTAATACTGCTAATTCATCCTCCCGGACCCGTATGCAAATTAAAAATCAAAGTTCTAATATAAAGGAAGAGATTCAGTTAAATATAAAAATGCATCCTTCCTCATAGTGACTGTTGATGGCTTTATTTTTTGCTAACAATGGGGTTAACTCTGCTTTGACTCATGAGGAAGGAAAATGCCTCAGTATCTCCTGCTTAAGATTCTGGAAACCCTCGCTCCAGCTGGGGTTCCTGTCATTGTGGAAGGATTTAAGCCACAGTTCACTGTTACAGATAATAAGTCTGGGACTGATATCCAAAGCTCTGTCTCCTTATCACTAAAACATGAGCTGCCACTTTGAGGACCTAACCATAAAAAGACTGCCAACTTTATCACTGCCCGGTAACACAATAG